GTGGCGTTGGAAAGATCGTTCCAAGGGCTTTCCAAACATAACTGGAACTACTCCTGGATCATCCTGAGCTAGGAGTTATGACTGCTCAAAGTTGGCCAAAAACTCACTGATTTCCACACTTGGCCGAATTTCCAGATTCTAAATTTTTTTTCCAAAAATGACTACTTCCAATTTCAAGCTTCTTCATATTCATTTTAAATTGTCGGATGTTACAATTGTGCAGGCCATCCTAGAGAGATCCCTTTGGGAGACTTCAACAGTTGGCACTAGTGGAGTCTCTTGAGACTTCACCACTCCTCCTAGTGTTTTGACAGGCACTGATGCCCCAGTTGATACTGCACTACTGCCTCCAGTGATTTTATTGCAGAGAACTGATGCCCCGGGTAATACTTCCTTGTAGAGACTCCAAATGAGAGTTCTTCACAAGCTTATCTTTTTAGGGGGCCTTTTTACTTTGCCTCGCATACTTTGTTATCTTTGCATTGAAGACACTGTATATTTATTAGTTTACTTTTGATTATATTAGAGTGTTTCATTTGGTTTAGTGTATCTCTTTAACATTTTTCTTTTTCTCTCAATTTTACAACCCCCCATGAGTTTTGAAAATTGTGAAATACTTGAGTTTTCATTGATAATGATTCAAGGATCAATTATGTTCAATATCAATGTCTTGAATAGTACTCATGATTAGCATGGTGTATAGTGTTGGTGTTGCGAGAATGAAATCGAAGTGGTTGCGCTTTTGAGCGATCTCTTTGAATCTTTGTTGACTAGTTATGTTTTGATGTGAGCCTTACAATGCACATTGCACATACGCTTGTGTGGAATACTAGAATATTCCTTGATAGTCTAACTGTCTAAACCTTGGTAAATATAAGGCGTGCTCTAGGGTAATAATTCAAAGAGGGAACCCAAATTTCCTTAATTCTTTGTGACTACTTTGTGAGGGTGTGCATCCATTTTGGCACCGCTTGAGCCTAAACCATTTGTTGAGTAAATCAAATGAAAACCTCTTGAGCAAAATTGTCCCTATCTTCTCACCAAAAAGCTTTTTTGAAGCATTGTTATGTTTGAATAGCCAACTTAGGCCAAAAGCCTAAGTTGGGGTGTGGAAAGGAAGAAGGAATAAAAGTCAAGTGAAGGGCAAAGAAAAATGAAATGGATACTCAACTTTGAAGTTTGTTACAAAAATAAAAAACCTCTCCTAAAAGAGAGAGAAAAGATCATTGTGATGAAAATTCCTTGAATATGGAAATGAAAAATATGAGTGATGAAATAAAAGATTCCAAATAAAATGAGTGAAAAGTCAAAGTTTGAGTTCTCTAATGAAAAAGAATGAAAAGAACTTGAGAAGGGGTGAAGATGATTGCAACAATTCTTTGAAAACGTGAAGTCACCGAGAAAAATTGGTCATGCTTTGACCCTCATCCCCATTACATTGCATGAACTAGGTTGTGTGATGATTGAAAAATATGGCCAAACCTATGGGAAGAAGCTTGCATGTATTTCTATTTTGAGAGAGTAAGAGTTGTATTGATTCCTTATTTCTTGGTTGATTTGCTTTATGAGAGCATAAAATTGTTCTTGATGTGAGAGCACTTGAATGCATTTATTAAAACATGGTCTTGCATTAGAAAATATGTTAAAGTGAGTTTGACCTTGTGTTGAAATCGGCTAGTCATCATTTGAATTTTTTTTAATCAAGATTGAGTGTAGCATGTTGTTGAGAATAGTCTTGTAATTGAACTTGCATGTTAGCTCTCATTGAATACTATTGTAGACACTCTTATTGGACTAAATGTGTTCTTAATTTACTTGAGGACAAGTAAAAGTTTAAGTTAGGGTGTTGATGAGTGGTAAATTTGCACTCATTTGAGGCCTATTTAGCTCAATAATAAGTGTACTCAATGTCTAATTATATCCTATTTTGATAATATTTTGATGATTTGCAGTTATGAAGGCTAATGGGCAAGGCAAGGATGAATGTTTGAAAGAATGGTCAAAAATGCAAAAAGAAGTGCAAACTAAACATTGATGATCACCAAACTAGAAAGGTGAATCGCCTAGTGAGCATGACCTCGCTCAAAGTGACAGTGCACAACACTTATGTCTATCAAGAGACAGGTTGGTGAACTCCAAAAGAAAATGTGACTCGTTGAATGAGAAAGGCGACCTTGCTGACCATCGCCAAAGCGAAAGTACAAGGAAGAAAATTGATGGCTCGAAAGGCAAACTAAGGTGGTACACGGTGATACGCTGAATGTAAGTGATGCATACCTCTTGTTCTCTACCTACTTTGTTGCCGCAATCTCCTCCTCTCTCTTCCTTCTCTCTTATTCTCTCTTTCGGCTACAGCAGCAAGCTCGACATTAAGATAAGCTATCTTACTCTCCATTGCAGATATTGTCTCTCTATCTCCGCCATCGAAGCTTGAGAATGATGAACCACAATACCAAGACTTCTTCTTCTGATACGCATTTTCTGGATAGCCATAAACTGAACCTCTAATCGGTTCACCAGCACTCTGTTTCCAAAGATTCTCGTTTTCTTCTTGTGTAAATGTCTATCCCGACTCTCAAGAGGTAGAGTACTACGATATCCTGAGATATTCGTATATACCTATCCTTTAATTTAAACAAAGAACTCTACGAATAAGAATGTAATATATACAAGGAAAAGAAAAAAAAATAGTTTGAATGGAGTTCTTACATATGTCTCTTGAGCACGTGGCTCAATCCATCTTTCTTCTTCTGTGGGGTTCGTACTCTTCTTGACGTGAGTAACCTTGAACATCTCTGGTACAGCTACCGGCCTACCCAACTCTTTTTCCTGCAAATAACATATATAGAATTTGATCTCATTAATCTCCAAAAAGTACTTATCAAAAAAGAAAAAAATTATTTTACTAAATTAAGAAAGTATACCATTCTTTCCTTCCTAGTAACCTGGCTAATAGCTCCACCAGTGTGCAAAGAGCCTCCCTTTTCTGATGCGCGAGCCATTCCACCAGTATGCAAAGAGCCTCCCTTTTCTGATGCGCGAGCTATCTTCCCAATCTCACTCCTCTTTTTAAATTTTCATCAGTACTCCAATGTTCCAGTAACAGAGCCCATCGATCCGGTAACATAAACTTAGGAATTCTGTTTTTTCTCCGACAGTCACAAAATGTGCTAGAAAGCAACTTTGAAGCTTTAAGTTTGAAGTTCACTTGAACATCTTCCTCATGTTCGGGAGCCCATACATAATATTTCTATAATAAAAAATAACTAAATATTTATTGTTCAAATGAATAGCGAATTTAAATGTATATGATGTGAATTTAATTGATATACATTCTTACCTTAAATTCGTTGAACATCTGCCCTTGGGTGTTAAGTGGAATCAAACTCCAATTTGGGTACACACCATTATAGTGAGTTCCGATGCACTTTAAAATAATCTTTGCCATACCCACATCCGGATGTAAGCTGAAATACGAGTTCATTGACAAAGTAGAGTAAACAAAAAATAATCAATCAATTAAAATATAAGTAGATAAATGAAAGATGAAACATAATTAAATCATACGTGTATCCTAATGGCTCGATGACGAGTCTCCGGAAATTGTCTCTATCGCCTGGCTGAGGACCATGTGCATCTGAGTGCTGGGTGGTGGGAGTATTAGGCTCTGAGCCATTGGATTCAAGATGAAGATTGGAAAGTCCAATTGATCCACTATTACTATTCAAACTATTGCACTGACTAGCACTAGCTGATGGTATGGTAGACCCACGACCAAGATGTGAATGGCCCTGCAATGTTTGGTAACCCAAACTAGGTACCACAGTAGATGTAGATATAGTATAACCAGATTGTGGAGCCACATGAGTAGAGGCATTATGTGACTAGTGTGCCGAGTGAGTAGTTGAAACTGAGGATCGTTTTGAAATATTAACTCGAGAGGGCTCATCAGATATCACGACCCTGGTGGGCCTTCTCATAGCATTGGCCTTAAATTTCTTTTTTGGATTAGCGGATTTTTTTTATTTACCCTTGTCTGTATCTACCATCTATATCAATTAAATATAAAAATTAAAACGAAGTAGTACAAAATAATGTCACAATGTCGAACAAATATATCAAACAAAGTTATCATAACATAAGGCTTAATCCAAATAGTCTTTCACAATGTCGAACAAACGCTAAAACTACTAAAATATAAAGTATACTCGAATATAAATAGCTAAAAATCTACCAACTAAACATACAAATTGTTATTTATCTTTCCCCTGGGGCATTTCACTTTTAGCTTATGTTTAACTTTTTTGGCTTTTGGAATTGCTTTTGAAAACTGTTGCAATGTTGTTCAATTTACAAGTTATATTTCAGAGAAGTGGTAATATTGTCCCTAAACTCTTTTTCTCCATTTCCAGTCACATCACTCAGTTTCTGCAAATTCAATGATCAATAAAGGAAATGTGTGTTCACATGTTTCAAAATATCTACCTACATAACTTAAAAATCAATGCAAGAGGCTTACATTGAACTGTAACTTGTGAGATTGAACTCTTTTCTATGTATCAAACTTTGCAATTCTAAGGATTCTTTGCCATGACTCATGAGCTACTTGTTATTAATTGAGCTAAGTGTCAACACTAGATGGACACAAATCGATCTTGCAAGAAAATTAATTTGTTATCAATAGGATAAACTAGTGTTGGTACTTATGCTTAACAAACACATTATTCCTAAATTAAAGCTTAATATCAATACTAGATGGACACAAATCGATCTTGCAAGAAACGTTAAAACTACTAAATAGTCTTTCACAATGTCGAACAAAAGTTAGAACTACTAAAATATAGAGTATACTCAAATATAAATAGCTAAAAATCCACCAACTAAACATACAAATTGTTATTCATCCTCTTCGGAAGTTTCTTCATCATCTATCCATTCACATGCATCATCTTCGGAAGTTTCCTCCTTATCTATCCATTCATCCTCTTTGAAAGTTTCCTCCTTATCTTCCTCCATATTTGTTGGCATATCTAACTCTTCTCTATTAATTTCGTCTAAAATGTGATCAGGATGCTCCAAATTCATTTCTAACTCAGCATCCACTACTTGATGAACACTTGATATTTCATTTTGATATGCAACATCCAATTCATTCTCAACTTCCACTCGCCCCATCGGTTTTGTTTTGATTACAACCCACCAATCAGACTTATCCCTACGCAACGGATAAGGAGCATAGTACACTTCTTAGCATTCTGTGCAATAATAAAAGGATCATAAGCCTCATACTTCCTAGTGTGCTTGACTTCAATGATATTATGCTGCTTAAGCTCCCTCGTACCTCTTGAAGTTGGATCAAACCACTTGCATTGGAAAAGTACTATTCTTTTGATTGGCCAACCCGAATACTCCAACTCTACAATCTCCTGTAGGACGCCAAAATAATCAACATTCTCATTTTGATTTCCATCATCACCTTTAACCCAAACACCACTATTATTAGTTTTCTTATTCTTTGAGTATTTCTCTGTGGCAAATTTAAAACCATTTACGTTATATTGGGACATTGTGTGAACTGTAATCGGTCCCCAAGAAATATCCTTGAAAAATCTTCACCATCTACCCATTCACATCATCTTCGGAAGTTTCTTCCTCATCTATCCATTCATCCTCTTCGAAAGTTTCCTCCTGATCCTCCTCCATATTTGTTGGCATATCTAACTCTTCTCTATTAACTTCTTCTAAAATGTGATCAGGATGCTCCAAATGCATTTCTAACTATTAAAATGCTAATAAATCAACACTTGATATTTCATTTTGATATGCAACATTCAATTCATTCTCAACTTCCACTCGCCCCATTGGTTTTGTTTTGATTACAACCCACCAATCAGACCTATCCCTACGCAATGGATAAGGAGCATAGTACATTTTCTTAGCATTCTGTGCAATAATAAAAGGATCATAAGCCTCATACTTCCTAGTGTGCTTGACTTCAATGATATTATGTTGCTTAAGCTCCCTCGTACCTCTTGAAGTTGGATCAAACCACTTGCATTGGAAAAGTACTATTCTTTTGATTGGCCAACCCGAATACTCCAACTCTAGAATCTCCTGTAGGACGCCAAAATAATCAACATTCTCATTTTGATTTCCATCATCACCTTTAAACCAAACACCACTATTATTAGTTTTCTTATTCTTTGAGTATTTCTCTATGGCAAATTTGAAACCATTTACGTTATATTGGGACATTGTGTGAACTGTAATCGGTCCCCCAGAAATATCCTTGAAAAATTAATCAAATGTGGCGGCATTTTCTAAATTGTAGACCTATATATGGTTAGTAAATTAAAAGCAATGTTAGTAGAAAGAAGAGTACACTAATCTCTTAATAGGTGTATATATTACAACACTTACCCAATTAGTATACCACGTTATAAATGATGGAAACACTTGATCATGACCATATTGGCTCATAAAATAACTCTAAAATCACATTGAAATACAGTTAGTTTCCTTAATAAAATCGGAGTTGAATATATGTTGTTTACATATTTAATTTTCTTACTCTAAGAAGGGTTGGACTTCTGGAAAATTCAACAAGACATGAAGCTCTACAGATTTTTTCTCCTTTTCGGTAAGTTTGTGCAATGTACGCTTTTTTGAACCCTTACCCGGTTGGTTGAAGATTGATAATGATTGTACTGCAGGATCATTCCCAGTAACATCATGTCGATTAGGTATGTTTCTCAAACACGACACATAATCATCAAAGTAGTAAGAACAAAAGTGGGATCTTTCTATAGCTAGATATACTTGAACCATACAGCCCTCCACCCTATGTTTATTCTTAATACCCCTTTTAGACTTGCCAATGCTCCTGTAAAATTTTATATTAGATATATAATTTCAAAAGATATATAAACGATTTATGAAATAAGAATAAATGTGTTATAGTTACTTACCACTCAAAAGGATACATCCACCTACATTGAACTGGACCTCCTAGTAGAGCTTCATGAACAAGGTGAATAGGAAGATGTTTCATCACATCAAAGAACCCAGGTGGAAGAATCTTCTCCAACTTATTACTAATAAAAACGATATTTTTGGCCATCCGAATCAGATTCTCTACTCTCAATGTGCTGGAACACAAGTCTTTGAAGAACAAACTGATCTCTGTCAT